TATTAAAAATTACGAAGTAAATTTCAAACGCTTATTTCCTCGAAAAAATTCCAGAAAGAAATAAACATGATTTAATTGGCAATAATAAATGAATGCGTTATCTTTGTTGTTGCGAAGCTAAGTTTCTCTAGATTGGCAACAAATCCACTAGTCTCCTGTTTTAAATGTAAACATCAATGGCCGCCATTAAGAACAGACTTAGCGGCAATTAAACAACTTTAAAATTGCTGATAATTCTAAAAATATTGCACACAGATTTACTAAAGGCATAAAATCCTTAACCGGAAGATAAAAACAACATAATTCAATCATTTTTAAAGCAAAAAATGTACAATTTACAAACATATAAAAGTAAAGAAACTGAGATCACTGAGCCGGGTAACAGAGTGGATATATATATATATAAATATATTTATATTCGTTTGGTGCTGCCGATTGCAACCAAAATACGAGGTGCACATCTACATGTTATAGCAGTCCTATATACAAAATTTCAACGTTCTGAGGCTACTCGTTTTTGAGTTATGCGAGATACGTACGTACGTACGTTTGTGCGTACGTACATACGTTCGTACAGACGCCACGAGGAATTCTCTTCAGAATTAATTTTAAAGCAGTTTTACAATTTTTTTGAAGGAAAAGAGTATTTTATTCTGTCCTTACGTACAGATATGACGCAAAAACATCGTTAAATTGCATTCGATAGCGGTCAAAATGCATTCGATAGCGGTCAAAATGGATATTTTCGTTGAAATATGCTGCCTGAAACTTTTCGCGATTACAATACTTCCTTTTTACTTCGTACAAGGAAGTAAAAAATCGGTTTCCGAAGTTACCTAAGATTACCTTCTATTATCTCACAATGCCAACAAAACATTTGACTGCCGTACGAACATTTGTTTTAAAAACATATTACTTAATTAAGAAAATCTGTATATGCAAAATATGATGCACTAAAATACTAAAATATTAAATAATAAATTTCTTCTAAAAGAACGAGATGGATCTTTAAGAAACTGATTAGTTTATCTACGTAAATTTCAAAGCAAAATGCAATATAATTTTTATTTAGTTACATACTAGTTATCTGTGTCGTGTTGTTATTTCGTTTCTGGCATTTACTTCTTTGCCTGTATTCCTTATATATCGCTCTCTTACACTCTCGTCATTGTGACGTATCATAGGTGTCATCTGGTTACTTTCTGAAATTTGCATATGATTCTTGAAGATGTGTGTAGTGATTTTACAGGTGATATATTTATTTTAGAGTTCGATTTTCGCGTGAATTTAGGATAATTCAAAAATTATCCTAAATTTATGGACATGAGTGTAGTAAGAATCTATTTTCCTTAAAAAGTCCTCAACGACGGCGTACCTCCCTTTAGGCAAATAGCCGTCGACTGTTTTCACGTAATCTAAATAATCCACTTGTTATGAAGAAGAATGTTTCGACACCAAGTTTAAATAGTTTTACTTCTAGGTATCATGTTATATCTGAAATTCCTATATTGTTAAATGTTAAATATGAAATGAAACTACTTTCCGTTAAAGGTAGTAATGGTATAGTGAAACGTGTACAGCATTTTTGCGTTGTGAAAAAAATGCATTCCGGGACCGCGCCGTGAGAGGATCGAAAACATAAAACATATACAAGATATAAAGGAAAAGTTCATATTAAATATATAAAGAAAACATACTGTAAGAGGTTCCAGATTAAATATCAGTTTATTCAATTACAACACAATAAGAAAAATCTTAACCTCATCTGAGAGTCTGTTCATTTAAATTCATAAAAAAACTTAAGGTTTGTCTGGTGATTTAAAAGAAAGGAAAGGGAAACAATTTAAGGCCTGAGAGTTAAATTTTAGATTTGACGTTGTTTTTTTTTTTTTTTTTTCTGCTAAGGACGTTTTTGAAAAGCTTGCCTAAAGTTCAAACACACCAAAAAAAAAAAAATTAAAACTTATCTTGAAGCGGAGGACTCTTATCTTATCCCGCGTTGATGTCGGCCGGGCTCATCTTGACACTGGTTCTAAAAATGTAGACTCCACTTCACTACTGTAGAACAGAAACAGGAGCACTGCTGCCCAGGACGGCTATCCGCTTGGTCCTGAAAGTCCTATGTCAACACGCAGGTAACTCGTTCAAATTTCGCCGGTCAGAAACGTTGTTGCTAGGAAATTACTGCTCGCCTGTTCTTACTCATCCCAAGAGCAAGCTTCACGGGTAACGTCCCAAGTAAGTTCCACCCACCAGTCAGTAAGGGAGAGAATCCAACTCCAATTTTCTTCAAGCCAGTTTTCAAGAGTGAGTCCAGAGAAAGTGTGTATCCAACTCGAATTTCCTTCGTCTCCTTCACAAAACGGGCTCCCACTATGGCTTCACTTATCGCCCCCTTAATTATGGCAAAATCTTCGTTTTCAACTCCAGAATGCGGAAATAAGGGTGATCGCGCATGCGCGCCCTTCTTCACTTAGCCAACAACCGGACCCTCAATCGCCAAAAACCTGAATGACTTACATTGAAAGACAAGTAGCAACCTTTGACCTTTCCGTCACGTACTTTCCTCTCTTAAGGTCAACTAACAATGAAAATTCTTTCTCGAACATTCTAAAGCGCGCGAAATCATGACTTGGCGAAAAATTGCCTCCCTTTCCCTGCTTCTTTCACAATGAATAAAAGTTTGTACAAGATTTGCAAATAAAAGAAAATAAATAATATTCATTTTAAACTAAATAATATTTCCCGAAGCATCTGTTTCTCCCCAAAATTAAAGCCTTAAATTAAATAATTCAGAATCAAATAAAATTTAAATTTCCATAAATCATAAAATCATTCACCTAGTTTTTACAACGCTATCAGATAATTCTCTACATAACATTCCTTTCCCCTAAGGAATTAAATTTTGGTTTACCAAAATTTAGCAGACAGACACTTCTTGAAATACCATGACTCATACTGTGCAATAAGGCTAAAGGATAACATAATGTAACAATATTTCACACACGACTACTTGGTAACAGTGACGTTACTGACACATTAAATTTCAAGTCCAAAATGTGCAAGTAAAACAACAAGATTAATCAAAGCAATTACTAATTAAATACTCAAGGAAGATCATAAAAAAACAATTAATCAAAACATCAATTAAATCACTTAATTAATTAAACCTAGAAATACTCAGAACACATACAAAAATAAAAATAAAATATAAGGCGTTAATCACAAACAAAATATGTCTAAGATCAATCAATAATTTTATGACAAAAAGAATTTCTCTTTTTTTTTTTTTTTCAGTTCATTGCATCACATTAGTGTTGCAGTCTCTGTGTGGCCACATTTCTGAACGTTTATTTATCTATTCATTCCTTTTCAGTCCATTAATGTAAACAATTTCACCTGAGGTCGAACACATTCTACTATTGTGACAATTTCTGCTGAGCACAATCATGGAGTACATTAAATGAGTACGGAGTTGTCAATGCAAGCGAGGGAAAACCCTGTAGTTAGAAATCATTGTGTTAGCAACTCCCCCCTGCAGCCTTCAACGCGAGAAAATGAAAGCAACCAACCCCGGAATGTGAACTCAGCACCACAATACTCCTTAGTAGAGGAACTTGACCTTAAAAGAAACCAGATTTCACCCTCCTACGTCTCACCTTCGACCAAGGAAGAACAATCACTCTTTCAAAGTTGAAGAAGACTTTATCTTTCAATTTTTCCCTTACGATAGATAAGCCACTGAATGTGTTCGAATACACACACCTGAAGAAAGAAATAATCTAATCCAATTGTTCACACACCAAAAAAAAAATGAAATAAATAAAAATAAGATAATTAACGCGCCGCAGATACATAAAATACATTCCTGAGAAGATAAACACACTAATAATTCAAACAATTCCAAATAAAATATGTCACATGAACGTATTCAAACAAAAGAGTAAAGACCCCCTAAGTACTACGAAATTGAATAACTTCCAGGAATGAATCCCAAACAATCACGTCTAAGAACAGAAGCGGCCTGATCAGGGCCAAGCATTAGAAAAGAAAAGAACGTTACAACACAAGGAACCTCGGAACCAGCCGAAAATACCCCACACAAAAAAAATCAGAAAGAAGGAAAACGTGATTGTCCAAAAATTCAATTCCAACCAAAATCAATTCCGAAAATAGCATAACGAATACGCTGTGCAAATACCAATTAGAATTTTATCCAAGACACACAAAAATAATAGTAATAATACAACCTAATGCATATACAAAATAACGTTTGGCCAAACTGAAAAAGTCAAACTATATACAAAAAAAATATATATATATATATATATTTCGCTAAAGTCTGATTTACTGAGTCCAAAAATAAATGTTTGCAAAGCCCTACATTAGTAAGCAACAAAACCCTGCGAATCCCTACGTCTCAGGTTATAAGGAATATCAGCACATTGATTATGAATTCTCTCTGGAGCATCAGAGTTGCACGCCTGCAATGAAGGAAAGTTTATACGTTCAGGTACCTTTGTCAATCTATCCACATGTACTACCTGCGACTGCTGTGGGCTCGTAACTGACTCAATTTTAAAATTCACTTTGGTGACCTGTTCGACCACTCTAAATGGACCCTTATTAAACTTCGCAAATTTCTTAGTCAATCCAGGCCGCAACACAGGAGTATAAAGATACACCATATCCCCTATTTTAATATTTTTTGAAAAAACAACCTTGTCTCTAATCTTTTCCTGTCTTTCAGCCGCTTCCTCCGTTAAGTTTTTATTTACTAAAGAGAAAACCCTGCGGAGTCTTAAAATTAAATCCCTTGAATAAGTGTCTGTGTCACGATAAGTCTTAAAGTCTGTTTGTGTCAACAAATCAATAGGTAAATTTAAATCTCTTCCATAAAGAAAAAAATGCTGGGCAGTCCAGTAATGCGCTATGCCGTCCAGTTCTGTGCGCTAAAAGTGCGAAAGGCAAATGTCTGTCCCAATCTTCCTGCGTCTCACTCACAAGGTGGCTGAGAGAATTTATTAGAGTAGCATTTAAGCGTTCAACGACTCCGTCAGACTGCGGGTGGTAACTGGTGGTGGTGTGCTTAGTGATGCCTAATTTCTGATATACTTCTTTTATTGCATGTGAAATAAAATTCGAGCCCCTGTCAGTAACTACATGTAAAGGCACACCGTGAGCCGAAATAAAAAGTTCCAGTTTTTCTATGATAGATTCAGAAGTAAAGTCTTTCAAAGGATAAGCCTCGGGCCACCTCGTAAAATAATCAGTGATAACTAAGATGTATTTATTTCCCTGTAAAGTAATGGGTAAGGGACCAACAATGTCCATGGCTATTCTTTCTATCGGACGGAAGCCACAGGCATTCTCAGAAGAGGAGCCTTGTGAGAAGGCCGGTGACCCCTCCTTCCGATACAGGAATGACAAGATTTTACATAATTATGAATGTCCCTATACATGCCTTTCCAATAAAAGGATTTTTGAATACGTTGCAGTGTGCGATGGAACCCGGAATGTGCCGCCACCGGCGAATCGTGGTGCTCTTGCAGAATACGTGAAACTAAAGATCGTGGAACAACCAACCTGTGCAGTTTTTGCCAACGGGTACGTTGCTTAGCATATTCACAATATAAAATGCCATTACGCATAAAAAATTTCAAAAAACGAGGACTAGGAGTCAAATTTTTTTTTATATCTGAAATAATCTGCTTACAATGCATATCTGAACCCTGCTCTTCTTTGAACGTCTGTAATAAGTCTGGACTGACAGAATTTTGAACAAGATGCGTTACATTTACTGCTCTAGACAAGAAATCAGCTGTTACGTTCAATTTCCCTGGTTTATGTATTATTGTATAGTCAAATTGGGACAAGCTCATAATCCACCTAGCTATCCGAGAAGTGGGATCCTTCAATTTTAGCACGTGGGACAGCGACGCCTGATCTGAATAAATTGTGAACCTTTTCCCTAAAAGGTACTGGCGAAAAAAGGCAGTAGCCCAAACTACTGCTAAAACTTCCCTTTCAACTGTACTGTATCTGGTCTCCGGATCTTTTAACTTCCGGCTTGCGTAACAAATTGGATGCAAGAACCCAGTATCATCCTCCTGACAAAGAACAGCTCCTAAGGCTAAATTGGAAGCGTCCGTACAAAGCGAAAACGGTTTGGAAAAATTGGGTAGAGTTAAAATAGGTTCCTTTAAAAGTTCATTTTTAAGAGTGTCAAAGGAATTTTGAGCTTCATTGGTCCATTTAAATACAACTTTGTCTTTTGTTAGCTGTGTAAGAGGAAGAGCCTTCTGTGCGAAATTAGGTATAAATCTTCTATAAAACCCTACAAGCCCGAGAAACCTTCTAACTTCTTTTCTATTCCGAGGAGGAACAAATGCTTGTACAACTTTTAAATTTCTGTCATCTGGTTGTAAGATACCTTTTGATACCTTAAATCCTAGATAAGTTATTTGGCTTTTGAGAAAATGACACTTGGACGGTTTCAACTTAAGATTATGATTTCTGAGTCTGTCAAAAACTATTTTAAGCTTTTCAAGGTGTTCGTCAAAAGTACTCGAAGCTATCACAATGTCATCTATGTATATGCCTATTTTTAAACGGGGACAGATTGGCTAAGACAACAGACATGAGCCTTTGAAAAGGAACTGGGTGCATTGCGCATTCCGAAAGGTGTCCGAAGCCATTCGTAATGCCCGGAAGGGGTCGAAAAACCACTTTTAAATGTGTCATCCGGGTGGATCTTCATTTGGAAAAATCCCGAAGTTAAGTCCAACGTTGAAAACAAATTCGCATCACACCAATTGTTCCACAAGCTCGAGCATATTAGGAAGAGGAAATGAATCTTCAACAGTTTTTTCATTAAGTTTCCGAAAATCCGTCACTAATCTATACGTATTATCAGCTTTCTTTACAAAAAGAACCGGCGCACTATATGGACTATCGCTTTCTTGAATAATATTGGAATCCAATAATTCTGTTATTTGCCTATCTAATTCCTCGCGAAGATGAAAAGGCACTTTGTATGGCTTTTGTCGAACCGGAATACTATCCTTAAGGTTAATATTGTGTAGAATTGTATCGCACCCCGTTAGCTGAGTTACAGAAGAAGCGAAAATGTCATTGTAATGGCTTAAAAGCTTAGTCAGGTGCTGCTGCTGATCCGGTGACAAGTGAGAAAGGTCAAATTCTCCCCCCCCACGACTCAAAATCCTCTCCTTTCTCCATGGTCGTCGTGTTATTCACGCAAGCAGTTTCTATTGAAGACACAGTAACAGGAAGAATAGATGCTAACTTAGTTCTTTTGTTAATATGAATAGTCTGTGGAGTAAAATTTGCTATCTTAACGTTAAAAGTCTTAGAATCATTATTTAAATTAACTGATCTTGCCACAGAGAATTTACTATGAGAGTTTTTATCAATCGGCTCTAATAGGACTGTGTCATGCGAATCATTAAACGTAGGAGCAATTACCTTTACTATATTCTCAGAAAACGGCAAAAGTTTATGTTTACGAACTGCATAGCAATAATCCAAGGAATCTATCGGTCTCGGAAAGAGACAATTTGAACTGTCACACCAACGTAAAGCAAAATTTTGCCCAAGTAATTGTTTAGTGCTAAAATCCAGCAATGAGTGCATTATCAAGTAAAAACTGTGTTCCTAAAATGGCACCATAGTGCAAAGAAAAAATCCTTGTCCTTAATGAGAAAATCAACAGGAAAAATCCTGCCTTGCAATACTACGGGAAGTGAAACTTTTCGTGTGATTAGAACATTCTGATTAGAAATTCCTTTTAAATAAAGTTTACAAGGAGAAAATGAAACTTTATCCCCTAACCCTGCAATAATTTTTTCCTCTATAATATTAACCGTTGCCCCCGAATCTATCAAAAATTTAATTTCTGTCTGTAATATAGAACCCTCTACTATTGGTAATGAATACTCTCCTGTAGTGACTACAAAGACGGATGGCACCTCCAAAAGGGCATTCGAGGAAGAAATGGAAGCGTGTTTCTCCCCACCCTTTTCTAGTTTAAATTAAATGTCTGAGCTTGGTGATTCAATTTGCTACCAGTTGCACCTCGATCCTGAGATGCTACCGTCAAATGTTCGGGTGCCATATGAGAATTAAGTGTATTCGCCGTTCCTGCCTCTCTTTGTCGAAATCTGTGATCTGATCTACCCTGCTCGTTATTAGACCTGCCATTTACATAACAATTTCTGCTTATGTGTCCTACCCGGTTACAACGGAAACATCTAGGCTGTAAGGATCTCGACCGAGGATTATGCACCATCAAAGATTGCATTTGGCTCTGCAAAGTATTCATCATCTGTGTCAACTGGGTTAAGTTCTGTTGTTGCAATCGAATAGCCTCTACAAGCTCTACATTATCACCCGAAACACAAAGAGTGTCCTTGGAATTTACCGTACCCGTAGTATGGACCGCCTTAACTTCCGCTGACTGAAAATCTGCCTCAGCATGGTTTTTTATCCACATCTCTTCCTCCAAAACTGCGTGGTTTTTCGCTGCTACAAATGATTTATGATTATGGGGCAAAAGCAGACGTCTAAGGTGCAAATGCAATCCTTCTAGAAAAACAGATAATAGCAATTCCTGTCTCTGAGTCTCTGCTGCCGGATCGCCCATCCTTTCTACTGGCACTGTTTTATAAGATAAAGCCTCGATACGCGCAGCGAATTGTCTGACTGACTCCCGCGGCTTTTGAAATGCCTGTATAAGGGAGCGAATATGGGAATGTAGACTTTGAACTGTTGTAAACCTGTCCTTCAAGGCACCTACCAGGTAGGAAAAATCAGCTTCGCTCCTCAAACGCGGATTATTCCTAACAAATTCCGCGGCTTCCCCCCCCCCAAGTTTAACCCGAATTACCGTAACTTTATCTGACTCCGTCCATCCTACATGTGATGCTATCAGTTCGAGTCTATCTAAAAAATCAGCTAGGCTAATGCTATTTTCTCCTCCCGTAAAAATAGGAACTGACTCCAGTGGGTCCAAGCCAAAAACTGAAGTACCCTTTACGCCCGGGGCTGTCTCTTCCAACATCTCTACTGATGGGTCAGGCTGTCTAGTAGAACGGCGCGTTTTCTTCGACATATCGCCCTCTAATAGTTTTGAATCATTCAAAAAGTTTCCAAATTGTCAAGCTAATTTAATCAGCTGCCAGTTACGCGCAAAACTTAAAAGAACCTCCACTCATTGACAACTCCGGTACTTTTACAGAAAACATAAGTATCGATCATTACATCTAAAACATACTGAGTATTTCGAAAGCCTCAAAATTTGAAATTCACAAGCCTTCTTAAAACCTAATACTTTTGTACTAGTAAACAACCTAACAGGCACAGTATGAAATCATTGAATCACACGTACTAAAACACTATCTTTTTGGTTAATATTATACCAAAACAGTTTAACTAATCTTAAATTCAAGTCTTAAATTAAATTAGAGAATTAATATCCTGCAGTAACCAGTAAGCAAACATAATTCAAAGCAAAACCTTAATTAGTCCTCACACATAAAATTTAACACTTTCATAAAACAGTAAGTTATACAAAGTAAATAAATTCAAAAAAATAAGTTACTGATTCGATCCTTCACTAAGCAGAGGTCACGGCACCAATGTTATGAAGAAAATGTTTCGACACCAAGTTTAAATAGTTTTACTTCTAGGTACCATGTTATATCTGAAATTCCTATATTGTTAAATGTTAAATATGAAACTACTTTCCGTTAAAGGTAGTAATCGTATAGTGAAACGTGTTACAGCATTTTTGCGTTGTGAAAAAAATGCATTCCGGGACCGCGCCGTGAGAGGATCGAAAACATAAAAACATATACAAGATATAAAGGAAAAGTTCATATTAAATATATAAAGAAAACATACTGTAAGAGGTTCCAGATTAAATATCAGTTTATTCAATTACAACACAATAAGAAAAATCTTAACCTCATCTGAGAGTCTGTTCATTTAAATTCATAAAAAAACTTGAGGTTTGTCTGGTGATTTAAAAGAAAGGAAAGGGAACCAATTTAAGGCCTGAGAGTTAAATTTTAGATTTGACGTTGTTTTTTTTTTTTTTTTTTTTACTCCTAAGGACGTTTTTGAAAAGCTTGCCTAAAGTTCAAACACACCAAAAAAAAAAATAAAACTTATCTTGAAGGGACATCTTGAAGCGGAGGACTCTTATCTTATCCCGCGTTGATGTCGGCCGGGCTCATCTTGACACTGGTTCTAAAAAGACTCCACTTCACTACTGTAGAACAGAAACAGGAGCACTGCTGCCCAGGACGGCTATC